GGGGGGGACGTGGGGACACCCCCAGGGAGGGGCTGAGCAGCAGCCTGGGCATCCCAGCCCAGCCCCGCGCTGCAGCTGAGGCACCCACCGGTACCCAGAGAGGGGTGCTCACCGGGAGGGGGGTGCAACCCTGCAAGATGGGTGCATGCCCTGAAGATGGGTGCACCCCTAGGAGGATGGGTGTACCCCCAGGAAGATGGGTGTACCCCCAGGAAGATGATGGGTGCACGCCTGGGAGATGATGGGTGCATGTTTGGGAGATGGGTGCAGCCCCCCAAGATAAGAGCACCCCAGGAGATGGACACACCCTGAGAGATGGGTGCAGTCCCTGAAGTTGGGTGCAGCCCCCAAGGATGGGTGCATCCCTGGGAGACGGGTGCAGCCATGGGAGACGGGTGCAGCCCCCAAGGATGGGTGCACCCCTGGGAGACGGGTGCACCCCTGGGAGATGGGTGCAGCCCCCAAGGATGGGTGCAGCCCCCAAGGATGGGTGCAGCCATGGGAGACGGGTGCAGCCCCCAAGGATGGGTGCACCTCTGGGAGATGGGTGCACCCACACTGCAGGGTGTCAAGAACCTGGAAAGCCTGTTCCCCAGGAATTCTGGAGGGAGGGATGAGGCCACCCCGATGCCTGCCCATGCCCCCCCATGCAGTGCTGCCCCCGGAGCCGGGGCCCCCTCCCCACCCAGCACCCCTTGCCGGAACCGCAGCCTCACCTGGAGAGGTGGACGCGCTTCTCGGTGAACTGGCCGGGGCCGTGGACGGGGTCCTCGTGGGGTTCGTTCTTCACCACCTCCACGCCCTCGCCCTTCTCACTCTCCTGGTGGCTGTGCTTGCTGATGGTGTAGAGCTGCCCCACGCGGTACTGCAACCACAGCACCCAGCCTCAGCACCGCCAGCCCCGGCACCCTCCCGCTCAGCCGGCTGCCGGCGCAGCGCCGGGATGGGCTCCTCTTTGCTGGGCTAATGGGTTTCCAGCCGAGAGGGGAAACTGAGGCACGGAGCAAAGGGGGGACAAATCCCATGCCGTGCAGCGGGCAGGGGTCTCCCAGGGCACCCTGTTTCAATCCTCCTGCCCCTGGGCTGAGGGTGAGGGCCAGATCCTGCCCTCCCTGCTCGTCCCTGGTGTCCGAGTGCCTCGCAGCGTGCCGGGAGGCTTCCTGCTCAGTGAGCAGCCCGGGAGCCAGGGAAAACTATATATATCTCTATAGATCCCTATCTATAGATAGGGATATGGATACATATATATGCGCGTGGGTATTTGATGACGCGGCCGCG